TCTGATGTTTCTGTGATGTACATGCTAGAAAGTGAGTTTTTTTAAAGAAAGGTGATGGTTGTAGGGGTGTAGTGTTTGGATTTCTTGTTTTTAGTAGTTTACCAGCAATTTTAGAGAACTTTTTGTTGAATATACTGGCTGTTTCATTAGGGTTTGTTATTGTAATGTGATCATGGACTAGTTCAATATTTTGTGCTTTGTTATTTGCTGGTAATGTTTTTTTTACAATATTCCACTTAGCTTTTGTTTTATTTTTGGATTTTTTTATATACTCCTCATTTGACATATGTTTGGCCTTTATTATAACTTTTTTGAGTATGGCTGAATATCGCTTATAGTAGTTCACTATTTGAGGATTGCACGAGTGTTGTTTTGTGATTTTATAAAGCTCTCTTTTTCTTTCACATGAAATTTTAATCCCCCTTGTTATCCACGCTTTTCTGTTTTGCGAAGAAATTGTCGAACTTGAGGTTGATTGCAGATATTTCATATACCCCTGACCATGATTCATTAGTTAACAGTGAGATGAGATTGTTCAGGCTTCTTTCATTATACTTTCTAGTCTCCTTCATTAGTTTTGCTTTTGGTGAGGTAGAATTTATTTTGAGAGTGAGTATTTGAGCATTGTGGTCACTGAGCCCCGTATCATTAGTGGCGATTGTGTGCGTGTGTTTTGTTTTGTCTAAAAGGATCTGGTCTATTGCTGTTTGGGAGTTCTTTGACTGCCTGGTTGGTGTCTCAACTACTGCATCTAAATTATAGGGGCGTACCAAGTTTATTAGTTTGATTCTGTCTCTTTCATGAGCAGTATTAGCTGTAGGTAGGAAGTTAATGTTTTTATCGCCAGATATTATAATAGAGTAATGATCCCGCTTCATTAATTTATCCAAGATTAATTCTAAGTTTTTAAAGAATATTTGAAGATTCTCATCTAGTGCTCGATAAATGCTTAGGAGGAAGATGTTCAGCTTTCGAATTTCTACATTTGAACATTCTATGTCTGAGTCGCATGTTATTTGTTTGAATTCATTTACTTCTTTGGGTTCACAGTTGTTGGCCAGATATATGCATGTGCCTCGATGCGTGTGATAGTTACCAATAACAAACGGGATAAAATCTCCAAAGCTACAGGTTTAAAAAGAACCTGTTGTCATACCTAGACATTTAAACATGCTTTAAGATTATCCAGGCTCCACTTTTTATTCCGATCTGCACTGTTCGAAGTAGTACTAATATTGAAACCTCCCCGAAGTACATTATGAGACTGCGCACCCGTTCAATTTATATTTTTTATTTACGTTAATTGTAAATACCCCCATTTGAAATTTTGCACATTTAAAGTTCATTAAACTGATAATATATTATTTTTTCTAAACTGAAATTTGATTTAGGGAAAAAAATTGACAATTTTATAATTAATTGAGATTTAATGAATTATTGATACTTGACAAATAAACCCAACTATAAATTGGCTTAACTGTATTTGAGCTTTTATTTGAGACTTATCTCTCTTCTGTACGATCAATGTGGCAGGAGAAATAAGCACTTTCATTTGTTGGTGCTCGCGGTTTTTCGGAAAATTTCATGCAGCATAAATTCCTAAATAAGTTAAATTTCAATTACCCTCGTGATACATCGTGTCTCTTTCATTTACCCTCGGAATACATTCAAGAAGTTTCAATCAATTTCGAACATATAAGGTCAAAGCGGTGTTCGATTTGACGAGGAATGTCTCTACAAAAAAAAAAAAATGTATTAATTTTTTCCGTTTGCAGAATGACAATACAATAGGTGGTAAGTTGGTAGTAATACGGTAACTTGTAGATAGTAAGTGAAAACCGTACTAAGTGCCAAAAATGGAATTCCGAGATAATTAAGAAAAACTGTTTTAACAGAAAAGAACCATGTTTGTGCAGTGATATTTTCATAAGAACTTTTTTATATAAATAAGACTATTTTAGTATAAACAGATTTTGCAGTAATTTAGCTTTAATTGAAAACAATTTTTGAAGTTAGAGTTTTGTGACAAGGGGTATGCCCAAACCCCTGGAAACGAATAGTGGGCTAAGTGCCAATTATAAAACCAAATAGCGGGTCAAGT